TAGACAAGCTAAGAAGTATGTTGATGCATGCTCTGAACCGTTTTTAGCTCATTGATTTTATCCCTTGAACGTTTAGCAGAGTTGTTCTTACTAAATGATTTTACCAATAACTTACTGGTTTTATTCTGCTTTGAGGGCTCTTGGGTTTGTTTGGTTGGTTGGGTTGGGTTTTCTGCAATCAAGCAGGGTATAAATTTTAAGAAATAAATAAACTAAACCTGGATGCTCCCTATGCAATCAATGCAGCTCTCCTGTATGGATCTTCAGGGCATGGGGAGTCTCCCGGTTTGGGGAGGAGAAATTGTGGGGCAGCAGGAATTGGAGGAGAGTGAAGGATGGGCAAGGAGAAACTGAAGGATGCAGAAAGGATTCGCCATCCACATTAAGTTGAGGCAGAGGCATCAGCTTCTCCAAAGGATTGAGGGGGCCCTGTGGGACGTGAAACACAAGAGCAGTCAAGTACAACATTCCTAGAGTGAACATGTTTACACATGGGGAGGAATGTTTGTCCAGCCAGCAAGAAAACTTCCTGTTTCCTTCTGGGCTGGGATAGACTTCCTCTGCATGTGACTAGAGGTGGGTGTGGTCTCACCTGTGCAGGTAACGACAAAAGCACAAGGCAGGGCAGCCATCTCTCTCTCTTTGACTACATGCATCGAAGAAGCAACATCTGCTTAGCTAAAGATGCCCTCTTGTAGCCAAGAGATGACAAAGGGACTGTCTCCTTATGAGATAGTTTCCAGATATATGTAACTTTTCTAAGCTAAGTCTGCCTTCTGGGATCCGATTGTGAACAGAATGTGAGTAAACTCTTTTTATACTTTTATAGAAGACTGTGTTGTGTCTTATCTTTTATGAGGGAATAAGGGGAAAATATCAGAACAGTTATTACAGAGGCTTTAGCGAGCCTGAGCTAACGCATCCGCTGTGAGTTTAAAAAGGGGGATATTACTCTGCTAAATTGTGAACTTGTTTACACAAGTTGGAAAGGCCATAATCCAATAATATATCCTCTCCTGCATCCATGAACATTCCCAAAGGCCCAATGCAAAGTCACACAACATCCTGATGTCACAAGGAGGCAAGGGGTGGAGCCAAAAGCCCTCTGAAAAAAGACATTGGGGGGCTGAAACTGCTCCTAGGAGTTGGCGCCTATGAATCGAGGCAGGGCCAGCCCACCAATGGGGCAATGTGAGGCAGTTGCCTCAGGGCGGCCAGATCCGGACAGCTGTGAGGGGTGGCCTACAAGGAGTGTGCCAGTCTCCTTCTCCTGCCCTTCTGCCACCGCCACGTGCCCACCCTCTGCAGCCAGCTCCTCTCTGGCCTCCTTCTGCCCCCCAGCAGGTGGGCAGGTGTACAGCAGCGGAGCAGGAGTGTTGGTTGCAGAAGTGAAGGCGATGCTGGCATGACATTTTCTGTTTTGACTATAGCAGCAAAAAGTCCTGTGCTGGCCCTGGGCCAAGGTATGGACAGGCCCTAGGAGAAAGCACTGTTTTGCTGCCTGTTGAAGACCTTTTAAGTGGATATCTCTATCCCAGGCTGCACCTATCCTGGATTTGAAATGGTTTTTCAGTTTCAAAATTGCATTTCGTTGTCTTTGAATATAAAACTGGGGTTTGTCAATTGTTAGAATTGTGAGGGGTGTTGTTTTGTTTCACCGATGTTTTTGTCGCAATGTTACATCCTTGATGGGAAGCAATTCATAAATGGAATTAAATATATTATGTGTTTGGTTTTTTAATTAAAAACACACCTTTTGAAGAGTACCCTGCTTTGTCCTGAGTACCTTGTGCTGAAAGGCAACTTAATCATTTGGCAAATAAATTGAAATGGCCAGGCTTTCTTTTTTTCTGTGGGGGTGGGATAGCAAAAGGGGCTGCAGAGGGAACCAAATGGAGATTAGGAAAAACTACTAATGATTGATTATTGTAATACCAATAGTGAATGGAAAAAACCCCAATAAAGATTGATTTCCCATATGCACATGCTACACTCTTTCCAAGGACTGTTTTCTAGTAGATTGGCCAAGTCTACATTAGAGAAGGGCATGGGAGAATGGGGTGCGTGAGAGAGAGAGGGTGATGGGGTGGGTCCAGCCCCAAATACATTTTCCAGCCCCACCCACTGCTAGACTGCAGCATCCCTGTGAGAAGTGAGGTTACAGGGAACCAGGCAGAGGGCCTTCTCAGTGGTGGCGCCTGCCCTGTGGAATGCCTTCCCATCAGATGTCAAGGAGATAAACAACTACCGTATCTGACTTTTAGAAGACATCTGAAGGCAGCCCTGCTTAGGGAAGTTTTTAATGTCTGGTGTTTTATTGTGCTTTTAATTCTGTTGGGAGCCACCCAGAGTGGCTGGGGAAACCCAGCCAGATGGGCAGGGTATAAATAAATGAATTATTATTATTATTATTATTACTATTATTATTTATTATTATTATTATTTATTAACAGGGGGAATGTGGCCCTCAAGGGAAGGGAGGAAATAAGTTTGCCCATGCTTCAGGAAATTAGCAAGTTGACCAGCCTGCCAGTGTGGACTGCAATCAACAAAAGCTGGGCTACTGAGCCACTATCTGTGGATACCCTAAGGTGTCATTCTATGCAGATTTACCTAGGAGTAAGGATGTCTTCATCTGCCCCAGCTGCAGCAAAACATGTCTCTCCCATTTCAGTCTCTACAGCCACAGCAGGTCCTCTAACTCTCCAACAGCTTGACTTCACCCCCAAAGATGCAGTCTTCCGTTGTCTCCCAAGGCAGACGGATACCAACAAGCCCCATTAAACACCCTTAGACTACCCTCTCCTTCCTGAGCCTTTATCACCCACGGGCAGGAATCAAAATCAGGAATTTTGTCCCTCAAATTGCCTTGCACACTTCGGCTGCTGCTTCCGGGTGAAGCCCCAGCGGATTCTTCACTCTCTAGCAAAACGCAACTTTCTAATTTGGTCGCTCGTGGCTTGGACAAGTGGTGATCTGCTTCTGAGGGTAAGATCGCCCTGGCCTTCAAAACCCAGTGGCAGATGCCACTCTCCGTGGGACATAGTGCCAATCAGGGCCGTCTTTACCCGGGCATGCAAGGGGTGCAGGGCACCCGGGCGCCGAATTCTGGAGGGTGCCAGACACCCGCCGCTGAAGCCGCCTAAGCTCCCCAGGGTGGTTGGCTCGTGGCGACACCACTTACCCAACCCCAACCTCCCCTTCCCTGGCCACTGTCAAAGTTGACCACTGGGCGCTGCATTGCAATGGAGAGAAGGGAAGTGGGGGAAGGAGGAGGAGGAGGAAGAGGAAGGAAAGCGGAGGGATTGAGATCGCGCCTGTCCCAGCTGCTGGAAACAAGTGCCACTGATCCGCACTTAGCCCCGCTCGCCAGGTGGCAGCTGCGCACCCACAAGAGAAGCCGATCGCCCCCAGAAATGCTGAGAGGGAGACCCCGGCCACCCCCAGTGCATGGCTGTCAACGTTTCCCTTTTTTTAAGGGAAATTCCCTTATTCCGAATAGGTTTCCTCGCAAGAAAAGGGAAAAGTTGACAGCTATGCCCAGTGGCTCCTGGACGGGTCTGGGAGTGGCAGAAGCAGCCAGCAGAACAGGGAAGTGGGGGGGGGTGCCCTATGCCTCTGATACTACAGAGCCCCAAAGCGGAGCAGCCAATCTCTCTCTCTCACTCTCCCTTCCTTGGCAGATCTTCCATTTCTCTCCACTTCACCGCCTCTCCCTGCTCCTCCCGGCCTCTTCCCGATCCTCCCCAGCCACGACCATTCCGGTTTTCACCTCACAGCAGCAGCGCTTGTCAGACTCAACAGTGCCAGGGCGGGGCTAAACTAAATTTGGGGGCGCTGGGCGGATCTTTGCACCCCTGCGCCGAATATGCTAAAGATGGCCCTGGTGCCAATGTTGCAAAGTCCAAGCACGATGGGGTTGGGGCTTGGGGGGAAAATGGGTCTGAGTCAAGTCGGACACAGAATTCACTCCTCACCCCCCACATCATGGGTAGGCAAACTAAGGCCCAGGGGTCGGATCTGGCCCAATCGCCTTCTAAATCCGGCCCGTGGACGGTCTGGGAATCAGCGTGTTTTTACACGAGTAGAATGTGTGCTTTTATTTAAAATGCATCTCTGGGTTATTTGTGGGGCATAGGAATTCCTTCGTTTATTTTATTTTTCAAAATATAGTCCGGCCCCCCGCAAGGTCTGCTGGACAGTGGGCTGGCCCGCTGCTGAAAAAGTTGGCTGACCCCTGCCTACATCATGTGAAAGACGGAGAAATTATTGTGTGATCTGTGAGCCACACGCTTTAATTGGCTCTGGGAAATGGGTGTTGGGGGTAGCACTTAGGAAACTGCATGAGCAGAAGAAATAAAAATGCAGACTTCCAGGGTGCAAACGCATCTATCACACCACATGTGGCTCAGCTAGGCAGCACAAAGGTTTTTACTTAATTTGAAGCTGGCATGATACAAACATCGGTTCCCATGGGGCATGCACTCTTTTCTCTGTTTTTGTTTGGGTTGGGGTTTTTTGCCCCACTGTCCTCTCGAGTCCTAAAGGTCCTGCATGACAGATTCCTTGCAAAGCCCGTCCACAGAGGGTGATTTCAAACACTACAAAGCAAACTGACTCTGGCTTGCCAGTCGCGACCCTGGGAGTCTGTGTGCCTGTACGATGCGCGTGTTTTGAAACACCTCCTTGTCACATTTCACACTTGACATTTCAAAGGGAACACTTAAAGTAAATCATATATGCACAGTGTAAAGAGAGAGGGCAGCAGCCAGACTTTATCATACTTAGAGCAAACCCATTTGCCTGCTCCAGAGGTTCACAAAGTGGGCAAGATCACCCCCTGAGGGGCACTAGGATTATCTGGTGGGGGGCGTTGAGAGGCAAGGGGTGGCAGCTGGGCACTGGAGGTGGAAATGACTATCATAAAATCCTAGAGTTGGAAGGGACCAGGAGGCTCACGTTGTCCAACCTGTCCAACCACCGACAACACAGGCATATTTTTGCACAAAGTAGGACTCGAATCCACCACCCTGAGATTAAGAGTCTCATGCTCTACCGACTGAGTTATCTATCACTCTGTTGGCTCTGAAAAGCTGTCATCACTGGATCAAGTTCATGCATCTTGTTGAATTTATTAAACAGTTTTGATTTTGAATAAATGTGCAATTGACAGCTCAGTTGGCTAGAGCATGGTGCTGATGAAGCCAGGGCAGCAGCTTCGACCCCCGTATAGGACAGCTGCATATTCCTGCATTGCAGGGGGTTGGACTAGATGTTCTTCAGCTTCCCTTCCAACTCTGTGATACTAGGATTCCTATTGTGAACGTTATTATGTTATTATCTTCCTTAGTGGGCCGTGCAAACCACTATTCTGAATACTGCTTTTTATAGGATGGATGTGACACTATTTAAAGTTTTTTAAAAGTCTTGCTGTTTCCATTTGACTTTTCACTAACCAGTTGCTTTGCAGCTGTTTTTGGACTACAAATCCCATCAGTTTCAGACTGCACAGCGGTTGCGGCTGATGGGAGCTGTCATCCGAAACATCAGGAGGGCACGAGGTTGGGGAAGGCCGCTTTATCCAGCTGAGGTTTGGACTGTGATTGCTTTGTACCAGCAGGTGTTTCCAAGCTATTACTCCTCAATGAGATTTGATTGCTGCTGTTTTCACCGTTTAAATTTGTTTACAGGCTGCACTTCTAAGCACGCTGGCTAGGAATTCAGAGGGATTTTACTTCCAAGCAAACAGGCTTAGGTGTGCACTTTTGGTGCGTTCCATTGATGTGGTTTTGTTATTGTACCGGCTAATTAGATTTGTTAGCCAGGCTAGATTCGTTTTTTGGCAGACAGGGAAACAAAATATTAATGACAGATGAGAACAAATCTCTTTAGAGGCTGGAAGCGGACAGCATCTCCATACATGCACCCCTCTTTCTAGAGATTGAGGACTGCACCAGAAAGCTGCATCTCAGGCCCTGAACCCCCAAACCCTGGCTTCCCTCCACCTCAAAATCCATGCTAAGCTACCCCATGATGTCGATTCATTCCTTCTCTATCAGGCCTGCCGGTGGCCCTTGCACTACTTGGCTGAGCACTGGGGTGAGCGGTTGGAGTGACCCACACAGTCTATATTTGGGGGTGTCGTGGCCGGAGGACGACTTGGGTTTCTGCCCAAAGCGGCTTCTATAAGTCATAGGCCTCCTCTGAGTAGGCGTTGGGCTCTTCCTCCGACCTGGTGGTCACCTTGAACTGGCGCCTCAGGAACCCTCCGTAGCGCTTCTGATTGTCCCACTTCAGCTTGGGTCGGATCCTGCGCATGAAGCCCCCATAGCGCTTGCGCAGGTCCCCCAGCTCTTGCCTGCCCTCCTCGCCGACCGCCGTGTCTGAACCTCGCTTGGGGTACTTGCGGAGGAAACCCCCGTAGCGTTTCACCTCATCCTTGAGCAACCCCGCATCCGACTCTTCCCCATTGTAGGCCAAGTCCCCGGTCTCCAGAGCCGCCGGGTATTCCTCCTCAGCGCCCACCTCAGAGGCTGCCCTCTCCCCCACCTTCCGGAAGAATCCACCGTACTTCTTTGCCACGTTCCCCTTGGCAAGGGCGTTCTCGCGGAGGAGAGAAAAGATCTTGTTCTTGTCCAGCTTTTTCATGAAGCCTCCATAACGTTTGGCCGGCCCAGTGTACACCTCCCTGGGTCTAGGGTCACCTTCCTGTTCGGTCTCCTCCTCTTCATCCCCCTGGGATGGTCTGTCGGGCTCCCCCTCAATCAGGAAAGGGGCGAGGAAGGACAGCGCTTTCTTGCACTTCTCCCACTCAGCGCTGGACAGCAAGGAGCCTTGGCACTCCAGGGAGCATATCTGTAAGACACCAACGAAAGGGGCAATCTGGTCAACATTCCCTCCGTGGCCCAGAGATAGAAATTCTGTAAAACCCATTATCAGTGAGTGTCAGCATTGTGTATGCAAAAGGGAGGTTCGGTCGTAAAACTGGTAAGAACCAGTTTAGGAGGAATCTAACAGCTGAATGGTAGAGTGAAAAACAACTCCAGTTAAGGTATACAAGGAGAGCTCTGCACATCCAGTAACAATGGGTGGAGTAAAGTTGTCTTTGAAGGACTGCGGTTGGATGAGAGATGAGAGACAGTGGGGTGTTGGAAGGTGATTGGCCGGGGGATGGATCAGCTGATGTTAAATGTAGGTATCCTCTCCATAGACACAGGAGAGGTGGGTCTCGTGCGATGTAATCCACAGGGAGCAGTCAAGTACAACATTTCTTGTTTCCCTAGAGTGGACATGCAAGGGAATGTTTGGTCCAGCCAGTCGAAACTTCCTGTTCCTCCTGGCCTGGAGCATCCTTCCTCTTGCATGTGACTAGTGGGTGGGCGTGACCTTTCCAGACCAGGTCACAAAAGGACAAGGCATGCTGCCACTCCCTTCTTTTCCATCTTCCTTTCGTCCTGTGAACTGCTGGACTGCTAGCCTGCAGTCACTAGGCAAATCTCTCTTATGGGGTAAACCTGTATGTATATGTTTGAAACTTTATTTTCTGTTAAATTGTTTTTAATAATTTTCCAATAAAAAAAATCCAATTAACATATCAAATCAAAATCCAATAAAAATAAAAAAAACTAAAATAAAAAAGATTGAATTATCTTCCAAATTGTAATTATTAATTTTTGGGACTTCCCATAGTCTGGACCTTGAAGCATAATTCCAAATCTCAATCCTGCCTCTTGTTGTTATTTCCATATTTCTACATTTCGATTTTAACACTCTAAGTATATGTTTGAAACTTTAAGCCTAAAGCCTGCCTTCAGAGATCACACTGCGCTCTGCCTGATCGTGAGTAAACTTTCTTTTTCTTGCTTATGAATAAGACTGTGGTGTCTTTATTCTTTTAGGAGAGATTCAAGGGGTCTTACCAGGAATGTATTAGAAGACATTTCAATCTGGACAAGCCAGATGGAATTGCGTATTGTCTTAAGAAACTCACACGAGTTTGCAACTAGTTTTCTTCTGTGTAAAGGGGAATGCGCTCTGCTACGTAAAGGAACTTGCTTGCGCAAGTTAGGAAGGATATTAATAAACAGTATATCCTCTCCTGCCACCCTGAACATTCCCACAGGTCTGAGACCAAGATAGGTTACCAACAAAATTATGCTTGCATGTATGTTTTGCTTGCATAAACAGCATCCCAGATCGGATTAGGATTCAGGTGGGCAAGGGTAGCCAAGTCTTGACTGGGCTGCAACTTACCAAGGGGCTGACCAGCTTCTCCACATCCTGGCTGTGAAGAGCACATGCGGAGCACTGAGCGGAACAGTCTGCCGAAATCGAGGTAGCCAAACTGAGGCAAATGGCAAATGCCAGAAGCTGCCACTCCATTCTTGAAAGCAGGCACCTGAAGGAATTGGGAAGAGAGGTGAGTGAATGACAGAATGATTTCCAGGGGAGGAGTGACTTCTCTGAAATACCAGCACTGTTGAGAGCTCCATGCCTTTTTTTGGGGGGGGGAGGGACGGGAGGTTGGAATTATAGCTTTGCATGCAGAATAGAATAGAATAGAATTTATTATTTATACCCCGCCCATCTGGCTGGGTTTTCCCCAGCCACTCTAGGCGGCTTCCAACAGAGTATTAAAATGGAGTGGTCTGTTTAACATTAAAAGCTTCCCTAAACAAGGCTGCCTTCAGATGTCTTCTAAAAGTCTGGTAGTTGTTCTTCTCTTTGGCATCTGGTGGGAGGGAGTTCCACAGGGCGGGTGCCACTACTGAGAAGGCCCTCTGTCTGGTTCCCTGAAACTTGGCTTCTCGCAGTGAGGGAACCGCCAGAAGGCCCTGGGCGCTGGACCTCAGTGTTCAGGCAGAAAGATGGGGGTGGAGACGCTCCTTCAGGTCTATTGGACCGAGGCCGTTTAGGGCTTTAAAGGTCAGCACCAACACTTGGAATTGTGCTTGGAAACGTACTGGGAGCCAGTGTAGGTCTTTCAAGACCAGTGTTATGTGGTCTCGGCGGCCGCTCCCAGTCACCAGTCTAGCTGCCGCATTCTGGATTAGTTGTAGTTTCCAGGTCACCTTCAAAGGTAGCCCCACGTAGAGAGCATTGCAGTAGTCCAAGCAGGAGATAACCAGAGCATGCACCACTCCGGCGAGACAGACAGCGGGCAGATAAGGTCTCATCCTGCATACAGATGGAGCTGGTAGACAGTTGGACATAGAATTGACCTGCGCCTCCATGGACAGCTGTGAGGATCCCCAGGGGAAATCCCTGGCACCCCCAGAGAAACTACACAAGGCCTTTGGTCAAGAATTTGGAGTCTGAATAAGCTCCACCGAGGTCCTCAATCCAAAAAGCAAAAGGCCTTCATTCAATTATTTCTACACATGGAATTATATCTTGCTGATGTTTCCCATTGTTAGATTACTTTGAGATGCATAATGGGAAATGACTCATGAACGGAAGGAAGGAAATAAATAAAGGCAAGAAGGGAGAGGTTTAAGCAGTCTCAGCCACCATTTCTTTGCACAAACCAGCAGGCTCATGGAAGTGCTCTTTCCATTACTCCTTCCTCCCCAAGTCAGGAGGCTGCTCTGGCATTCCCTGTGCAATGGCCTCTTGATTTAAGGCATCTTCGAACATGGCCTCAGGCAAGAGCAACCTAATGGCCCATTAAGAAGGCAGCTATTTGCCATCAACAACTGGCTGTACAAAAACCAGGAGAGGCAGTTATCTCAGTCAGCGTTAAGAGGATATATGTGCTATTTTTCTAGAAAAAGAGGTGCCAGAACTCACCATGAACATCTCCCTCGTTTTAGCTATGGCTCCCACCTGAGAGGAGCTGGAACTGAATTCCAGCAAGTTCCAACTGAAAATACACTTTGTGTGTGCATGTGTGTATTCCAACCTATAAGTAAAGGTAAAGGGACCCCTGACCATTAGGTCCAGTTGCAGATGATTCTGGGGTTGCGGCGCTCATCTCGCTTTACTGGCCGAGCTTCAGGTCATGTGGCCAGCATGACTAAGCCGCTTCTGGCAAACCAGAGCAGCGCACGGAAACGCCATTTACCTTCCCGCCAGAGCGGTACCTATTTATCTACTTGCACTTTGACATGCTTTCGAACTGCTAGGTTGGCAGGAGCAGGGACCGAGCAACAGGAGCTCACCCCGTCAAGGGGTGGAATGTCCCAGGGTGCATCTGGCCTCATATTTGCATACTTTTCAAGATCAGGTCAAGATGCGCCTTTTCGCCCAGGTCTTTGCCAGCGGATGATGGGATCGGAATATCTCACCTATTCCCACTTCCATATTGTCACCGGGCTGCGAGCTTTGGCAGTGGGATTTTACTTCGGCTGGAAATGAACCCCCCCCCCCCCAAAAGTACCAAAAAACTTTCAGGCAAACACTCTTCCTTTGTCTCTCCCCAGCTGCTAAGCCCCAGAGGGGTCCCTGTTCTGAATCCCTGGGGATCTTTTACGCTTGCTCTCTCCTCTCTGCTCCAGCTGACTTTCTCCTTAATGTCCTTTAATTGGGGCTGATGGAGAAATATGCTAATCCTCCCATATTCATTTGTGCTAAATTAAGCTGTAATTTGAATGATATGCATTATCATATGTCGAATTATCGACGTTAGCAGAACATAAATTCCACCGAGCTGCCGTGGCTCAGAGGCATGATTCACTATCTGATTACAATACTTTGCGATCTTTTGGCACCTTTTATCTGCTGATCGCAAATTGCCTTAAGAGCATTAATTAATAGAGCCTCCCAGAATGACTGCAGAGCCAAGTGCAGCTTGAGGGGGGAAAGGGAGTTAAAGGAGACAATTCTTTCCAAGGCTAAAGAAAAATAAAATAAAATTTCACCTCTACAAAAGAGAGGATATTGGTGGACTTAAATTCACAGCATGCTGTGCGTTGAAGGAGCACTATATGAAATTGATGTGCCGGTGGTATTTAACACCTATAAAGCTAGCAAAGATGCTTTAGACATAACTGCTTTAGACATATGTTGGAAACGTAAGGAGAAGGAAGGCACATTCGAACACATGTGGTGGACGTGCAAGATAACAAAAGCGTTCTGGGAAATTATATATAATGAGTTGAAAAAAAATGTTTAAAATAACGTTTGTTAAAAAACCAGAAGCCTTTTTTACTAGGAATCTTAGACGCAGAGATACCAAAGGAGCAGAAACGATTATTTATGTACATGACAAAAGCAGCGCAGATACTACTGGCCCAATGATGGAAAGAAGATAATGTCCCGACCAGAGACAAATGACTGATGAAGATGATGAACTATGCCGAAATGGCAAAATTGACCTGGAAAATCAGAAACCATGAAGATAGAAACTTTAAGAAGGAATGGAAAATTTTATTTAAGAGAACACTGTAAACAACTAAACATTTTGGCAGGATTTGAGTGACGCTTGTACTGCATTAAAAACTAAGGTTAAAATAAAAAAAGAGGACATTGGTGTTACGATATTCCGTTCCACCTTAACAGATATGTGGAGTTGTTGTATGTCAGATGTCTGTTTACATTCCAGCACAGCTTGCTGGGAACATCCGTTGCATGTATAGCTTTTGCTTATGCTGTTTGCTTGGACACGAAGGGGAGCAGACATGTTTTTCCTTGTCCCGATGCTGAATAAAATGCCTTAAATATGCTTTACACAGCCTCTCTCTGCGCTTCTGTTGCGAAGAGTTCTTATCTCTGCTGGCTTGCGTCCCCAATGCAGGAATCACAGCTAAAGAATCTCCCAACCTTTGCTGAAAAAAACTTCCAATGGAGAAGAGTTTGCCACTTTCTGAGGGAGTCCGTTCCACTTCGGATATCTCAAAGGCTATCACAAGGAAGATGGAACAAGCTTGTTTTCTCCTGCTCCAGAGGCTAGAACCCGAATCAATGGATTCAAGTTACAATAAAGGAGATTCAGATCAAGCATCAGGAAGAACTTTATAATAATAATAAATTTTATTTATACCCCGCCCTCCCCAGCCAGAGCTGGGCTCAGGGCAGCTAACACCAGTAAAATTACAGTAAAAACATAATGGGAGGGGGACCAATTTAAAATACAGGTTAAAATGCAATTTAAAATGCAGCCTTTAAAAAGTAATTTAAAAATCACAAGGGGAGGGAAACATAAGGATCAGACTGAGTCCAAACCAAAGCCCAGGTGGAACAGCTCTGTCTTGCAGGCCTTGCGGAAAGATGTCAAGTTCCGCAGGGCCCTAGTCTCTTGTGACAGAGCGTTCCACCAAGTCGGGGCCAGTACTGAAAAGGCCCTGGCCCTAGTTGAGACCAATCTAAACACCTTGCGACCTGGGACTTCCAAAATGTTGTCATTTGTGGACCTTAAGGTCCTCTGCGGGGCATGCCAGGAGAGGAGGTCCCGTAGGTACGTGGGTCCTCTGACAATAAAAGCTGTTTGACAGTGGAACGGACTCTGCTGGAGTGCGGGCAAGGAGGGAGGAGAGACTATCTTACCACAGATGTTTCATCAACTGCTCTGGCAGCCTTTTTGGCTAAGGTTTGGTGGGGGCAGATGCATTGCATAACTAAACCAATTTCCCACCGGTCGTTTTTGGTGCAGAATGCTCCGCTCACTTGCCAGTCCACAAACAGACAGACAGCAGTGAGGGATGTGCGGCTTGATAGGTTCTTATATCATCCCTGCCATTCCTCTGAATCAGCTTGCTTCTATCGATTTCTCTCGGGATGATTTAAACGCTCTTATTAAAGCAGGAGGGGAGAGAATTAAATTTCTCATTTTGCTGCTGCCGGGTTGCGGAGCGCAGAGGCAGCTCTCGAACGGTGTGCCAAGGGCCAGTTTGGATGCGCAAATAACGATAGAGACAATGGTGCAATTAAAGATAAAATGCGCTTAGAGAAGACAGGCTTGTTTTTTATATATATATATATATTTAAGAAATACACGCCAACAGACAGAACAAAAGTGACTTTTGCACGCAACTGCAAACTTGCCTGCAAGCAAAATCCGGGTGTGTGTTTGTGTGTGCTGTAAATTCAGGCATTCTCCTCGCCTCATTGCCAATGATGACATTTGTTCCACTCTTAATAACCCCAGCATTGTCTTAGTGCAGGGACGGGGAATCTGTGCCCCTCCTGATGTTGCTGGACTACAACTCCCATCATCCCCTAACAGATGCTTTAGTTGAGATTCCTGCATTGCAAGGGGTTGGACTAGATGACCCTCGGGGTCTCTTCCAACTCTTACAGTGCTATGATTCTGTGCTTCTATGAGTCTGGCTGAGGGTGGTGGGAGTTGGGAGTCCAGCAACAGGTCCCTCAGCCCTGCCTTAATGTGCCAGGCAGCTCTGCAGAGTCAGTGCTGCTGCTGTTAGTGGAAACCTCGTTCAGATACG